GAAGAGCTCATAGAGGGGCAGGACCTACAGCTGAGCTGCAATGCAGACAACTACACCTACGAGAATCTACAGTGGTATCGGCTGAACCTCTCCAAGCTCCACGATGAGGAGGGCAACCCCCTCGTGCTGGACTGCAAGAATGTCCACCTCTATGCCACCAAGATGCAGGGCGAGCTGCACTTCCAGCCTGGCTCCAACTATGCAAGCTTGCTGCTCACCATCCCAAACATCTCCCTGGGCGAAGAGGGAGACTATGTTTGTGAGGTGCAGAACCGGAAGACTCGGGAGAAACACTGCCACAAGAATTACATCTCTGTGCAGGGTGAGGGTCCACAGGGCAGGCGGGAGTGACAGAGGAGAGCTGGTGCTCTTGCTGCTATCAGCTTCCCCAGGGGAAGCCACACAAGCAAGCTAAACTCCAGGTGGCAAAGGCAGGGCACCTGGGTTCTCGAGACACCCTTCAGCAGGGGTCAGAGACCCAGAGCCCCCAGGAACACAGATATTCTTTTGATCAATCAGTTTCCCGTTTTCCCCTCCTCCTCTTTGTGCTGCTCCTCCAGCCCTGGAGATCCCTCGCCTCCAGCAGAACCTGACAGACATTTGGGTGAACGTCAGCGACTCCATAGAGATGCGCTGTAAGGTGGACGGCAGCCACATTCCCAAAATCAGCTGGTACAAAGACGAGAAACTGGTGGAAGAAGTGTCAGGTACCATGGGCTGGGGGTGAATCAAAGGCATCATGTCTAGCAGCTGGAGAGCTGAACATTGGTAGAGTTCTGGGAGTTGCTGTGCCCGGGCGAAGGCACCTGTGCTCCAAATTGGCTGAACTCTTGTTTTAATCACGTTCTATCCCAGTTTGATGCAGCCTAGCTGGCAAAGTCTATGCCCTAGGGTCTCGCTCAGCACTGTCTGTGCATGTGCTCTCCAGCAGAGAGATAAATCATTCATTTTCTTACTCTCAGCCCGGTGCCTGGCATCTCTGCTGAAGCAGGAACCAACCCAGATCCCATGGAATGATCCAGGCATGCTGCAGAGAAAGGAACAGATCCTGCAGCTAATGCAGAGCTTGACACACCAGCTGGAGTGCCTGGGCACTGTCCCCATCCAGCATTGTCTGTGAGGGTTTTGTCCCCCCCATGCACTGCCTGGGGAAGGCCTCTCCAGGGTATTTCTGGGGCAATCAGGCCACAGAGGAAAGCCTCTACCAGCTGGTGTAATTTCATTCTGCCATCTAAAATTAACCAGCCAAAAAATAGGATCCTTATTTTGAGCCCAAATGAGTCCAGTAATTCCCACTCCCTGTGAGTGACCACCACAACCCTCCATGCCTTACAGGAATTGACCTGGCAGACTTCAACCAGAGGCTGAGCATCCAGAGGGTGAGGGAGGAGGATGCTGGGCTCTACCTGTGCAGCGTCTGCAACGCTAAGGGCTGTGTGAACTCCTCGGCCAGCGTCTCTGTGGAAGGTACCAGCAGCCACAACATCCCTGGGGACAAAGGGGTGGAGCAGGAGTGTGGCCAGGGTCCCATGCCTCTTCCCTGTGACACTAGGCAGCGGGAGGCAGTGAAAGCCTTGCTGGTGGCATGGTGTTCACACTGGAGGATCTGTAGTCCAGAGCATGTAGCTCAGGCAAACACACCCCCCTAGACTTCCCACATCCTGATGGAGGCCACAAGGGATGGCTGAGCTGGGGCACAGAATGGGAATCTCTGAAGCCATGATTTCCCTCCTGCCCCACAGGCTCTGATGACAGGACCAACGTGGAGATTGTCATCCTGATTGGGACTGGGGTTATTGCTGTTTTCTTCTGGATCCTCCTTATCCTCATCTTCTGTAACATCAAAAGGGTATGTGACTGTCTTTGTCCCAGGGCAGGGGAGGTGGCTTCATGGGGCTCAGGGCAGCACCATTGCTGTGATGTGGGACTGTATGACAGCATGCACTATAGGGAGGACATGGGGTGTTGCTTCAAGTGCTCTCACTGCCAAGGACAAAGTGCATAAGGGCTGTGGTAAAGGAGGTGACATGGAATGGCTTTGCTGGGGGAAGCAGGTCAAGGCAGGCAAAGAAACCAAATCCCCCTGCAGCCACTGCAGGGAGGGCATCTCCTCACCCTCTGTGTTGGCTGATTCCCACAGCCTGCCCATGCAGACATCAAGACAGGCTATCTCTCCATCATCATGGACCCTGGCGAGGTGCCCTTGGAAGAGCAGTGCGAGTACCTGCCCTATGATTCCAGCAAGTGGGAGTTCCCACGAGACCGCCTGCGCCTGGGTAAGCTGGGCCCCCTCCCTGCCACGGCGCTGCAGCCCGGCCTTCCACCAGCCTTTCAAACTCACCCTCCAGGCTTCTTAACACATCTCTGTGTGTTTAATGCCTTCTCTCTGCCTCAGGCTTCCCATCTTTTTCCCCAGATGTGTCTCTACAGCCCAGCTGTGCCTAGGAAATCTCTTTGGGTCTGACTACAGACAGGTCTGAGCCAACTATAAGCCCAGGTTCTCCCTGTGTACTCACACAGGCATCATTGAGACCAGCAGCCTCTGACCATGCTTTAAAACACATCCCCATATTCTCCAGTTGGCAATCTGGACAGAAAAGCCCAGTTCATGGCAGGTACCCTGAGTTCAGGACCCAGATTGCATCCATTATCCTCCTCATGCTGAGACACCCACCTGCAGTCTCCTTCCTCTGCCTGTGAGAGTTAAAAAGAGCTGCAGACGACCTCTGAAGCACAGAACATGGACAGTAGCTTTGGCTGCTTTGCTGCAAGGTGTCCCATTTACCTTTCCCACATGCTCTGCTCTAGGGCAGCAAACAGTCCCTCACTTCTGCAGGGCCATTTCCTTCCTCTGCTTTGTCCATGCCAACTTTGTCTCCATTCCTCCCATCATCCTGTCTCCTATTCTCACCAACAGAGCAAGCAGCCATTTGGGAAGGGCACATGTTCCACTCCTTCCTTTTCCTTCATGAGCTTATTTCTTTCTTCTTCCCATGGTTTCCTGTTGGTTTTTTGTGTTGTTGGAGGTTTTCTTCATTCCATTCTGCCCTGTGCTGCACCTGCCTTCTTTCACACTGCTCCCCTCCTTGCCCATAGGTAAAGTCCTGGGTCATGGTGCCTTTGGGAAGGTGGTGGAAGCATCAGCGTTTGGGATCAATAAAAGTAACAGCTGTGAGACCGTGGCAGTCAAAATGCTGAAAGGTATGTGGACAGTGAAACAGAATATGGAGCCTCTGTGGACAGCAAAGGATGAGGGATCTGTCAAGGAATGTCCATCCTGTAAATTCCTGTATTTTGCATAAGGCATTTTTTTAAGGCCCTGGAAAATGTTTCATCCTCCACAAGCACTCCTGGGTGCTTCTGCTTGAGCCAGTCCTGAGCTAGAGCAGAAGAGCTGGGGCCAGCCATTAAATGTATGGCTTCTTGGCGTCAACACAGTTGATCCCCTTGGCCTCCCCTTGTGGATACTTTCACCCCATTCAGCTGCACTAGGAGGCAAGTGGCAGAGCAGACAGCAGGAAATTGAGGAACTCGGCTTTTAAGGAAGTTGAGCTCTCTGCAAAGGCAAAGAATGAGATTTGTCTCAAAGGAAGAAGAATCCAGAGCCCCTTTTTGGCAGGCCACTGAAGGAAGTGTTGCTCCCAATTGCCTTCTTCCAAATGTGCCTGTATTTCATGTTTATGGGCCAGGTTCAGAGCTGGGTAAGGAGGCAGGTTGCAGCTCTTACCTAGATCTGAGGGCTGAATTGGCTTTGCACCCAAAGCCTGGTCAACTCAAGGTGAGATTTTAAGCTTTTATGGCCACACTTTCAAACAGGCATCCAGAGCATTATTCTGTAATTTGGCACCTAAGCAAAATGCTGAGGCAGTCTCTGGCCAGCAGTGGCTTGTATATAGAAACAGAATCATGGCTCATCTCAGCAGCACTTACTGCAAGTGTACAGATGATTTGCCCAGCAATTGTAGAGGGAAGCCTGGTCATGCAAGGTTGCTTTGCAGTCCTTTGAGGTATGGCTGTCACCTGGCCCATCAGCTGCAGCTCAAGAGGATGCTTCTTTCTCTTAGACTTTACAAACTCTCAAGTAAAGCAAAATGCATATGGGGAAGTAGGGAAGTATGAAAAAGGCACCAAAAAAACAGAGAACAAACCCTGAGGGTAAAACAGAGAATCAAGAGTTGGTGTAAATTAGGCACTCAGAGGGAAAACCCCACATGTTACAGCAGGGATACTGGGAGCACAGATAACACTCTGACATTTCATATGGAAACAGGTAATAACAAACTGTACCAGGGCTTTGGGGTCACAGCCTCCTGAGCAAGACTTACATTAACACTTCGCTAAGAGAAGGGTAGCAAGTGTCAGGGAAAAGCTGTGAGATGTCATGACGTGATCTGTGTGTTTCCAGAGGGAGCTACAGCCAGTGAGCACAAGGCACTGATGTCAGAGCTGAAGATCCTCATTCATATTGGGAATCACCTCAACGTGGTGAATTTGCTGGGTGCCTGTACCAAACCCAATGGTAAATATGCCAGGGCAAGCAGCTGTGCCTGCTCGCACAGATCAGTGCTTGTCCCCTCTGTCCTTTCTGCTGGCCACATGTGTGACCACAGAGACACGTGGGGATGCTATCAGAGAGTCTGTGTGCACTTAAGACAGGTGCCACAGCTCAGCAAGGCTGCACATAATACAAGTCAGGGCAAATTCTGACCATCCCAAGCCCTTACCTCTCCCCTTTGGTGTCTTCCCACCAGGTCCGCTCATGGTTATAGTTGAGTTCTGCAAGTATGGAAACCTCTCCAACTACCTGCGGACCAAGCGGGAAGGATTCAGTCCTTACAGGGTAAGTAGCCTCCTTTGCCCTTAGGGATCTGTCCCATGTCTCTGAAAGGAAGACATGTAGCCTGAAATGTGATCTGACAGTGGGACAAAGACACCCTCTGTCGAGCAGTAGAACAGCTTCACACAGTGATCTTGGTTCATGTGCACATTAGGGAAGTAACTTCTTTCCGCAGTGGAAGACAGGAGCTTTCAGGCCAGGTCTAAGAAGAGGAAAAGACTGTGCAGCTTATGGGTGCAGGGGTTACAGTGTGTGTAGCCTGCTGAGGGTTTTGTTTTGGTTTCCTTGTCAGGAGAAGTCTTCCAGGCTGCGTATTCAGGTCCAGTCCATCGTGGAGGCAGTGAGAGCAGACAGGAGGAGTCGCTCTGGGACTAGCGACAGCGCCATCTTCACCCGCTTCCTGATGCACAAGAGCCCGCCGGCGCAGCCCTTCCAGATCCAGGAAGGTAAACTCCAGCCTCAGCAGTGCCCCCTCACCTGGCTCACCAGAACTATGCCAGACCTGGCCACCCTGGGGGGTGAGGAGGGCATGACAGGCCTGGGACCCAGCCTTGGAGCTGATGACTCCACTGTTGCCCTGAACAGGGCTATTAGTCATTTGTTGTCTCATGTAATAGACTCTCAAAACCCAGAAAGGAGGATTAAATCCCTTTGGATTATTTTTTTTTGGCTCAAGAGAGAAGTATTGGCGGTATCTCAGTGGGTTCTTCCTAGGACAGGAACAATGAGCTGACCTTCAAAGTCCCCTCCAGCCCTGTTCCCCACAACTCTCTCTGACTGATGTGTGCTGGAGGCTGGACTCCTCCTCCTCACACTTGAGCAGGTTCCTGCCATGTGTTTTCAGCCACTTCATCAAAAAACCCTCAGGGGGAGTGGGGGAGTGGGTAGTTACTCCAGTTAGCACTGAGGAGTAGCTGCATCTCACCAAGAGGCTGGTTGTATCCTGCAGTCCTGGAGAGGGGCAAGGACAAGACTGCTCACTGTCTAATCATTTTATTGTACTCCTGGACAGTGGATGACTTGTGGCAAAGTCCCTTGACAATGGAAGACCTGATCTGCTACAGCTTCCAAGTAGCACGTGGCATGGAATTCCTGGCATCCCGAAAGGTGAGTTCACCCTTTCCTTCACTTCCCTCTTTTGTGTGTGCTTGACCAGCAAAGGCCTGTCTACACAAGTGGCACACGGAGAGATTCAGTGATCTGCCTCACACTCCTCAGGAAGTCTGAGGTTGCCCTGTGAGCACAAAGATAGAAATTAGTCCTCTTGCATTTCATCCTCTCCTTAATCACCTCCTTTTGAAATTTTTCATCTTTAGCTCCTTCCCATTTCCATCATTTCCCTACTACAGCTCAGGTTCATGAGGCAGGGGGTGCTCTGCACTCTCTGAGTGTGGTTTCTGTCCCTCTGATTTTGCCCCTCCCTCTTGGTGTGCCCTCAGTGCATCCACAGAGACCTGGCAGCTCGCAACATCCTGCTGTCCGAGAACAACGTGGTGAAGATCTGCGACTTCGGCCTGGCCCGGGACATCTACAAGGACCCCGACTATGTCAGGAAAGGCAGTGTGAGTGCCATCTTCCCAAACTCTATACAGATTAGGCCACCTTGACATATTCATAAACTACTCTGGGGATGGAATAAATTGAGGAAAAGATGAAAAAGGATGAGTGGAACCACTTGTGTGGCTAGAACCAGGAACCATTGGCCCAGTGGTGTGTGTGCTGTTCTCCTCCACCAGCAGACTTCTGTCTCCTTCCTTCTGCCCCTCAGCCTCTCAAGAACTTTTTCTTCTTTCTTTATACTCTTTCCTCCCCCTTTTAGTGTCTCCATCCCTCCTTCTGGCCTAACCAAACATCGACTCCTCCATGGAGAGAGGACCAGGGCTGTTGGCTCTAGTTTACTTTCATCCAGTTGCTGTAAGAAGGGTTGTCCTGGGACATGTCGCTGACTGAATGCTTGTGCCTTCCCTCTTCCTCCTGCAGGCCCGTCTTCCACTGAAGTGGATGGCTCCAGAAAGCATCTTTGACAAGGTCTACACTACCCAGAGTGACGTCTGGTCCTTTGGGGTCCTTCTCTGGGAAATCTTCTCACTAGGTGAGTGCTAATAAGGGTCACATGCTGCTGAGGAAGACCTCTCTTCCCATGTAGCAGCTTGGTGGGTAAGTCTGTGCAGAAGGCCCTGATGCTCTGAAGCACCTTTCAGGAGTGCGTATGAGAAGTGACCACACCTACCAGTGTTTTGGGAGGGAGAGCAGTCTCAGAAGGACTGGTTTCTGATAGCACATGTCACATTTCCACGCTTCTTCAAACCTCTTTTAGGGGCATCTCCATACCCTGGAGTCCAGATCAATGAGGAGTTCTGCCAGAGACTCAAAGATGGTACCAGAATGAGAGCCCCAGAGTATGCCACAGCAGAAATGTGAGTCAGAAACCCTACAAATCCCAGCACTGGTCAGAGCAGAGCCCTCTGTGGGATGGTAGAAACATCCCAGATCCCAGCATAGGGCAGGACCGGCCCCTCTGTGCAATGCAAAGACCTTTCAGCCAGGGTGGGGGACCAGCCAACACCTCCTTCACTCCAGGCAGCTGCCTGAAGGCCAAGCCAGATGGGTTGGAGTCATAGCTATCTAGGTACCCTTGCATACCCACAGTGGGATGGGTCTGTTAGTGGGCAACATGCTTTCCTGCTCTGAAGGGTATCCGAAGTGTCTGATTTAGCTCTTTATGCACAGTATATTCAGTGCATAATGAACCAACACCCTTCCAGCAGGTCCACGTGGCCAATGTGCTGGGGAGTGCCTAGCTTTCCTTCCCAGTGCAGGTACATGGTGTCCCAGCAGGCACCACATGGGTGGGAGCTGCAGAGTGGGGTAGGAGGGGTATAAAACCAGCATCTCTTCTTGGCAGTTACCGTATAATGCTGAGCTGCTGGCATGGTGATCCCAAGGAGAGACCAACTTTCTCTGACCTGGTGGAGATACTGGGGAACCTTCTTCAGGAAAATGTCCAGCAGGTGAAAACCTCCCTATGTCCCTGCTCAGCTTCATGCAGCTCTTTCTTCTCCCACCACTAACTTCCTCCCTGTGCCCTCCTCTGACCCCCTTGCTAGTGCAATACCTTTACGTAGACCAAAGGATAACATGGCGTTTCCTGGATCACAGAGGTCTGTTTCCCAGAGCTACTGGAGAGCTCATTTCTGTGGTAGCCCTCTCACTGTGTCCTAATATAGCTCCACTCCTTGCACAGTGAATACCCTCTCAGTCGTCATTAGTATTTCCATCCTAATCCCCAGATGATTATTTGAAATTTTTCAGCTGAGTCAAGGTCCTGGCACTCCTGCTTCCCACATGCCTGCATAATGAAAACCAGGACTTCATTGGGGTTTCTGAAACTCTGTCCTCAGATCTAAATGTCAGGGCCATGTGAACCAAACAACTGTGTCATTTCAGCAGTCAGATAAACTCATTTCTCTGAAACTATTACTAATCACTGCCATGCAGTAACTCACCAGGACTTTAAACTTGCAATGAGCTTGCAGCTCTGTTTTTAACATGTTCTTGATGTTCCATTTCATAAGATGATAGCTAAGTGCTTACATATGGGCATTGTGTCTTTGTGACGTCCCTGATTTTAACCTTTCAGCACTGGATCCCAGCACAGACATGACTAAGCTACAGTGACGTGGCTCTGGAGCACAGGGCTTTGTGCATTTACACTACAGAGCCACCAGTGCAGTAGGACTGGGTTGTTTTCCTGCTCACACACCCCTCATGTACCTACAACACTCACAGCTTCTTAATACAGAGGGCACAGAAATCTCCAGCCAGGTATTTTGTCCCAGAGAAACAAAGACAAACCAGCAATTTTCCTCCCCAGCTCTGACACCTTCTGCTTGTAGTGCCCTGTCTTGTGGGAAAGCTCTCCCCTTCTTGTAAGGCCACTCACTGTTCTTCCTGCCAGGAAGGGAAGGATTACATCCCACTGAACGACTCTCACAGCTCAGAAGATGATGGCTTCTCCCAGGTGCCTTCCTCTGCCCAGCAAAACTCAGATGAAGAGGACTTTGACATGAGGATACGCTGCCACAGCCTAGCAGCAAGGTGATTCCTCTCTGGAAAGGGCAGAGAGCCCAGCAGGCAGCCTGAGCTGTAAGGCAGCCTGAGGGATATGGGGTGAACCCAGTAGCAAGAGGCTGGAAAAATCCCAGGTGATCAGGTGTGATCCAAGCATTTTGGGCCAGAGCACCTTGCTTATAAAAGCAAATTCACTTTCCTTTGCTGATGAGAAAGAGCCCTTGATGAAAGAGCCTATGGATTCCTTCTTCTGCCTCCAGCCACATTGCCCTTGCATCACGTCCCACTAAAGGCATCCTGGCCCACCAGGTAGATGTGGAAAGAAGGTGCCAGCTGCCCTTCTGCTAGTGCAGGAGCTTCATCCTATCTGTTCCTAACTAACCCAAACAATTAGGTCTGGGCTTCTTATCTCTGGAGAACTGTGATTGTGTGATGCCTGGGACATCACACGTGGCCTTACTCTGCTTATCCAGAGTGGAGAGAGAATCCAGGCCTGATTCAATCAGGAAGTCTGGGTGCTCCCCACTGCAGAAGAAGTATGGGGTTAAGAGGCCTAAGGTGACCCTATTGCTCCCCCAAAATCCCCCATTTGGGGCATCTGCCTCCCTGCATACTTTGGTTGCAGAGAGGGGAGGCTGAGCTCAGGTCGTGTGTATCGAGGACACTGACTGTTGGTTTTACTGAATACAGTGTGTTTCTGTCAGCAGATACTACAACTGTGTCTCATTCCCTGGTTGTTTGACGGGAGGAAATCAGATCAGGTGTCCATCCAGGATAAAGACATTTGAAGAGTTTCCCATGACACATACAATGTACAAGGCACACCCGGTGAGTAGCACCTGATTGGGGTTGAGCAGGGTGCAAAGAAATGTTCAGCTGTTTCCTGACACCTTTGCTGTTAAGATCGTGGAAGGAGGATCACTCCTATCTAATGTCAGTCTGTCCATGTCATTCCTGTTCAGTCTGTCCAGTCCTGTGCACATTGATTTCTCCACCTGGCACACAGGGATTTCTCTACAGCACAGCTCATACTGTCTGAATGTGAAATAGGGAGGTTAGATCTACAAGCAAGGACTATAAAGGACCTCAGAGAAGAGGTCCTGCTCTTCACCCTTCTCAAATCTGTAAACATGGCCTGGTTAAGCATATTGAAATCCAGCCACATCTAGGTAATCCAGAGTACTTGTCTTCACCTCCCCTATCTTGACCCACATGGCAGTGTGAGGTAGGAGCCTTCCCAGCCTCTCTGAACTGGACTGGTATCGTCTAGAGTGATAAAACTTAAGTCATCCCCTTAGTCTCAGAGGAAAATCTCAACACAGATTTGATGATAATCTATCTTCCAAGCAGGGAGCACTCTCTTTTTTTTTTTCCTCAAAGCGGCACTGAACTGCACAGACAAATCCTACCTTTGTATGTACTGTTTTTAAGAAGGTGCTTAAGCAAATCAATTCCAGAAAGGCCATGGAGCATGCTGGTAAATTGCCCCTGCTCCTCTTTTCCCATCACAGCCACACATGATCCCATCTCCTGAAATATTATCTCATCTTCTCTCATCTGGAATTCTGCTTCCAGTTCTGGGCTCCCCAGTTCAAGAGACACAGGGAACTACTGGAGAGAGTCCAGGAAAGGGCAACAAAGATGACTGGGGAATTAGAGCATGTCCCTTACCATGAAAGGCTGAGACAGCTGGGGCTGTTTAGCCTGGAGAAGAGAAGACTGAGGGAAGACCTTATAATGTCTATAAATATCTAAAGGGTGGGTGCGAGGAGGGTGGAGCCAGGCTCTGTTCAGTAGTTCCCAGTGACGAGACAAGGGGCAACAGGCACAAGCTGGAACAGAGGAAGTTCCATTTAAGTATGGGAAAAAACATACTTGCCATGAGGGTGAAAGAGCCCTGGGACAGGCTTCCCAGGGAGGCTGTGGAGTCCTCTGCTCTAGAGATATTCAAGACTCCCCTGGATGCAGTCCTGAGTAATGTGCTCCAGGGGATCCTGCTTTAGTGGGGCAGTTGGACTAGAAGATCTCTAGAGGTCCCCTCCAACTCTGACAAATCTGTGATTCTGTGAATGATCCCTCCTGCCTTCCCACTCTGATCAGCTGACAGGGACGTTACTGATAACTCCTGTTGCTTCCTTCCAGGACAATCAAACAGACAGTGGGATGGTTCTGGCATCTGAGGAATTTGAGAGGATAGAAAACCGACACAGAAAAGAAGGTGGATTCAGGTACTACTTAAAAGTCCAGCCACACAGACCTCCCTGCTGCCAGATGCAGCGAGACCAGCAGGCAGCTCTTGGTGTCTCTCTGTAGGGTTTGCCTCTTGGGGCTCTCTCAGCAGGCCGTGGGCCCTGAGCCAAGTAAGTCCATGCACACATTAACAAGAGGCAAAACACATGAAGAACAGACCTGCCTGTTGCTTCCTAGGGTTTAAACTATGCACATTCTGCTGATCAAAACATGTTCCACAGACCGTGAGAATGTGTCTGTTGACATAAGGAGGCACAGTGGAATAATGGTGTTAATAAGACTCTAAATGCTTACTGACATTTTCTGATGAAATGTGTCAGGGATTGTTTGAGCTGTGGTAGGTGGGATGGGTGGAAACTAGGTGGCTGTTACCTCCCTCCCCAGGCCCTGATGTGGCATTGCAGAGGTGGTACAGGCCTTAGGACTTCACTCAAGCTGGTACTGAGCAGGTCAAGCTGGCACTCTTGGGGCTGAGGATGCTACAGATGGTTATGTCCTTGCCCCAGACTTGGGACACTCATCTCTGCTTGGTACCTGAGCAGGCTGGGACCTTGTCTCCATGACGGTGTGTTGAGTGAACCATGTCAGTTTATGTGTAGGCAAGGCCAGTCCCAAGCCTCTTCCTCAGCTTCTCTGCCCCCCAGCATCAGATCAGACTGGTCATTGTCTTGTCCCTTAGCCATAGCCCTGTGGCCTCTCTGCTGTTGTATCTGAATGTCTCCTGCTTCTTGTCCTCTTTTTCTAAGGCATGTTCCTATCGTCTCCTACACTATGCGCTACCTGCTGTCCTGTCTCCTGGAAAACACTGCCCTTAAACCTCTCCTTAAATGTGTCCCTGCCCTTGCTCTTGTGACTTCTTGCTAGTCACCTGGTGTTGGCAGGCACTGAGATGGGGTTGCTGATTTCCTCCCACATCTTCTTAATTAACTTCCTTTGTTTCCTTTCCCCCATCCTGGCTGTTGGTTTGTATCACTTTCACTTACTCCTGCCAGCTCTAGAAGCAATTGGGTCGATGTCGCTTGTTTCTCCTTGCTCAATGAGGCCCCAACACTTCCCTGGGCTTCTCAGAGGTGCCTAGAAGAGTGAAATAGCTTTGTCACTGAGTTATGTGCAGATTGTTCACAAAACATATGGGCTGTGTTTAGGTTTAGAACAAGACCTGGTGCACTTTGAGATGGAGGCGTAGGTCCATTCCTAACCCTGCCTCTGCCCTGGTGTTTCCTGAAATTGGGATCTCTCTATGCAGGACAGAGTCTTCCCAGGAGTGCCCAGACTGATCTCCTGTGTCTCTCTCCCTTGCAGCAGTAAAGGGCCCAGCCGAACTGCGGAGCTGCCAGGGGAACAGCCGGAGCTGCGGGGCAGGTGTCGGCCGTCATACGGGGCCCAGGTGGGAGGCCAGACTTTTTACAACAGTGAATACGGGGAGCTGTCAGAACACTCAGAGGACGGCAGCTGCACCCCACCTGGAGAGGGGGCCAGTCCCCCCACTCTCCACACTTCCTTCTTCTCTGAGCAGTACTAAGGGTGTCAGGCCCGGAGGCGCCTGCCGGGGCACCCGCCCTCACCCTCCAGGCGCATCATCAGGGTCACTCAGAGCTTCTCCTTCCACATACACCCAACTCCAGCAGGGAACCTACCCCGAATGGATGGGGAACACCAGTGTCCTTGGAACCACAGCACGATGGCCCACGCGTCACCTCCAGGTGCAGCTTCCCTGCACGGGGACTGGAGAGAGTGCCTGCTGATTCCTCACATTTCTCTTTTCCCTGTGGCTCAGACAGATGCATCCTGCTGGCAAGTGGGTGCCTGTGCTCAGCACCACAGCACCTTCTGCTGAGCATCCAGCCTCCGCTCGCATCAGCTTCCCATTCAGAAAGCCCATTTCAGGTCAGATATAAATAGATCTGTCTTAGTCTCCAGTTTCTTCCTGGTGTGCAGCCTGAATGTTTTTCCTTAGATTGCTTCCTCCTCCTCTCCTCATGATGTCAGCTGCTGAGCTGTGGAGCAGAATCAAAGGGAAGAAATCCCTAGTGGTATTAGCAGTGAGAGCAGGACAGTTTAAAGAAATGTATTAAGAGATCCTGAGGGATCTTCATAAATGTTCATGCACAGTGTTCATTCTGGGTAGGTGCCAGCCTCTCCATCTCCGCTGCAAGCAACACCCACACCCCTCTCATCTCTGCTGGGGAGAAAGCCATCAATCTGCCTTATCACCAGGATTTTTTTAGCTATCTCAACACAGCTAGAGCTGAGTAGGTCATCAGCTGATGGCTAGAGTCCTTCCAGTGAGATAAACAGCAACTCTTTTTGCAAACCAGGGTTTTACATACTCTGTGCTGAGAGCAGATTACTCAAAGGTCTGCTGCTCTTGCCTTCCCCATTTCCCAGAGCAGCACTGAGATCATTTGTTGCTCAAGTGAGAAATTAAAGCAAAGCTGTGTTAATTTCAGCTGGCTTCTAAAGGTAAAAATGGTTTGTTTGCTGGGAGGAAAAGGATCAAAGTGGTAGGGAGTGAAATGTTTATTTTCAAGTTGCTGCAAGGGGTTTTGGAAACAATGGAAGGAACAGAGCTCCAGCGATGAGGTGTCCTGGGCTGCATCCGCTTGTATGTTGGCATCACTGATGGAGGGCAACACCTGGCCAGGGTTCAAGCCTCAGTTCTCCTGGATGGACAGTTCTGCACCACGACGTTTCCTGTCACCTTAGTTCCCTGACTCTAAGGAGGCACCCTCTGCCCAACAGGCTCCCCTCCGGTTTCTGTTGCAGAGCAACCAGCATATGGTGTACCTGTCTCTGGAGGACTGAGAAACGTGCTGTGGAAACACCTCATCACTTGGGCCTTTTCTTTCTGAAAGACACCACGTGAATTCAGAGCTTTGGGGAACTTCTTCAGCCCCTCTCTACGGATTTCTGTGCTGCTGTCTCACCACTTCCCACCTATTTCTTTCTATCCTGCTCACAATCCAAGAGCTCAGCCACAGAGCATGGTTACGTCACTGTCGAAGGAGTCTGGATGAAGAAGCTCGTCTGAACAGCTTGTCACCATCTCTTCTCCCACATGCCCATGGCTGGCAGAGCTCCTTGCACCAGAACATCTCAGTACTGGGGAGTTTCTGCTTGTGAGCCACACCTTTGTGCACAGACCCAAGGGTTTGGACTTTTAAAATTGTGTTTCCTGTCAGACATACTGCTTTCCCAAACTGCATTTCTTTTCCAGCAGAGGGTTTTATGTGTTTCCTGACGTGAGCCTGTGAGTCCTTATGGGTGACTTTCCCAAGTCTTAATTATAGTTCTCCACACAAGTGTAATAGTGAGATTTATTTAGAACATGGGAAAAACACACCTGTCATTCAGATTCTCCAAGCCCGTGCAGAGTGTCCAATGTTCCCCTCCCTTTTTGTGTTAGCAGGATGACATGGCTGTGATTTCCGTGGCAAAAAGAGGCACAAAACCAGACCAGCTTGAGCCAAATTGGCTCAGGACATGGAATTGGAAACTGCATGTGACAATGAATTCCCTGACTTCTACTGGTGTCCCCTGAAGTTGCCAGAAATTTAAGCATCTTTAAGTAATTGTTATGACTCGGTAAGAATCCTCTGGCAGGAGATGCTGGAGAGCCAGGCCAAAGAAGTAGGATAGCCAGTGGGGTGTAGGCCAGGCCAAGTTCTCTTGCCCTCATCTTGCCCTCATTTTTGAAATGATGGTTCCCTTGACAGAAACAAGGCTGCATGTGCCCCTTGCTGCTGGGGGTCTCCACCAGCGTTCGCGTGGGTGGAAGGTGACAGATGACAGCTAAATTCTGCTCAGTTGGTGTAATGTGCATCCATCACACAGGGTCTCTTGCTTCCAGTGCTTCACAAACAGTTCTCTGGCTGGAAATGCAGCTCCATCTGAGAGAGGGCTGAAGAAAGAGGCCTATAAATTAAATAATAGTTGAAGAAACAGAATTCCAAAGTAGTTGCAAGTCATTGTCCACATGTGTGGGATAGAAATGTACCATGAAAGCCTGACACTTGCAGGGCACGGACAGGCACTCAGCAGAAAGGGGAGAGAGGCATCTGAGCATCCTGGCTGGCTGTCAGCACTCCCAACCAGCCAGGGCAGCTGCACTTTGTCTCTAGGTTCAGCTGTAAATTGCTCACAAGCATCCTTGTGGAGAAGGATTACTTCATCAGAGCCATTCTTAACGATCCCCTGCTTTACTCTGGGGAGAGCACTGGTGTGATATCTGAGTTTTGAACACTCAAATAATTAAGCTCCATAGGCATTTATTTTCTCTCTTTTGCATCATCTTGATGATGGGGGGGGAGGGGGGTGTTGTGTGGAATCAGATCTGATTGTATCTGCACCAGCAGCATTGCATGAACAATGCAGCCGTGATCCGACGAGACGCTGGCCCCTCTTCAGACACTCCTGCTGCTGAAGAGCAATTTGTAGTATGGGATAGTGAAGAGCTGTTGACACAATTGCACCTTCACTCTCTTAAAAGTATACTAAAATTAGAATATACAAACCTGATACCCTTCCCCACATTCTTACGTTATTTCTGGCAATTTTTTTATAGTCTCCAGATAAGCATGAGCATTAAATGAAGCTGGTATGTTTTGGTTTGAAGATGTGAGGCAACAGTGTTGTCTGTCTTTCCACAGCAACAAGGGAGTATTTCAATTTTTGAAACCCAGGGTTCGATGATTGTGCCTGCTCTGTTCACAATGCACTCTCTGTGGTGTTTTGTTTGGGCTTTTTACTGGAACTCAACATTGAAGCTAAGCTATTTATCATCATCTTCCTTTAAAATGTCTGTTCCTGCTCTATGCAGAGTCTCATTTTTCCTTGCAAAGTGTTGGTATTGAGAGGACATTCCTCCCTCATGAAAACAGTGTTGGGTCCCCTACTTGCAAATACACGTGTCTCTAAAGAAAAAACCATGTATCAAGTAACACTTCATTTATATGGCAATATTTTAACCTGGTACCTGTTGTTGCTACAGCAGCAGTCAATGTTTCAGTGGGCTGCCTTTGAAGCAAGTAGGTTACAATATGGGTTATGTGTGAGTACAAAAGTGTGGTCTGTGTGAGTGAGTGTTTTGTGGATGAGTGTGTGGGTGTTTGCATGTGAGTTTTTCCTACCAGTGAGTGTGAGTGTTTATAACTCACGTTGAGTCTTGTCTCTGGAAGTTCACGGTTATATATCAAACCAGTTAGAACACTGCTTTCTTTCCTCTCCTCCTATAGTACTTGTTATCCTTTGTCATTAAGAGTTTTGTTGTAATATCTAAATGTGAAAATGAATAAAGTCATAACTGGCAGCTGCTCTCTGGTTCCTGGAGGCCACGGCTGCCCTCACTGCTCCCCACGCAGCACCGGGCAGCACGACTCCGGCCCAAACAATTAGCACACTTTAGCTTTGTTATTTTTACTTCGGTGTCCCTTTGCATTTCCCTGCATCCTCTAGGAAACAGCTGCCCTTTGTGGCATTTCCATCCAGGATGAAACTCTGCTCTTTTCTCATGGCAAAGCCGGATACACTTGGGTCCAGCTTGCTGACAGCAGCCGGTGGCACCGCGCTCAGCCCTTCGCCCCGCTGCCCATCTGCCCTAGAGCCGAGACCCTTCCTCGCCATCTCGCCCTCGGGGGTCTGTGTGTCCCTGGAGGGGTCTGTGGGTGCCCGGAGGGGTCTGTGGGTGCCCAGGGCCCCGGGACCCCTTCCCCTCGGTGCTGGCAGCTGGTGCCGTGTCCAGCCCAGCCGCTGGCAAGAGCAGCCAAAAGGGCCTTTTAACTCTCCCCAGCCCGGGACCTGCCTGTCTGGGGAATGAGGAGATGGAAGCTGCTCCTCTCCTGCCTCCCAGCCCACCCGCTGTGGCCCGTGTGTGGCACAGAGCGACCGCAGGGATGGGCCCGTGTGTGCAGGGAGCTGGGCCGGGCAGCCTGGCCATCTCCCGCAGGAACAGCCTGGGCAAAACGGAAAGCAGCCTTTGCTTGTAGTCAGAAAAGGGAACTGGGAAGTCACTGGCTGGGCCCCTCTGCTTCTGACAGGGCCAGTGGGTGTTTCCTCAGTGCTTTGGGACTCTTCTCTGAAGGTCACTGCGTGAATAGCAAGGAATCCTTCGGGTCTGGTCCTCCCCGGGTGTTTGCCGAGTCCTGCCCTCTGGCTGGGTTGAAAGGCTGGGTGAAGTGTTGCAGGGCCACTGATGGCACGAGGTTTCACACTCCGTATTTACCAAGAAGGGCAAAATAAATGTGAAAAGGTCATTTCCTGGATTGTATTGACATTTCTATAGAGCTTTTCATAAACAGCTTCTCAGATAATTTTACAGAGCCACATGCTACTCACCCGTAGGTCCATTCTCGGAGCAGGTTTGCAAGCACATGCACACCCACCCACACACACACACCCACACACAGACACCCCCCTCTCCTCCCCCCCCGGGAGCAGTGGGGCTGGACACACAGACACACATGCAGACACACACACACAGAGACACACATAGACAAAGACACAGACACACACACACAGACACACACATAGACAAAGACACAGACAGACACACACATACACAAAGACACACACACACAGACACACACATAGACAAAGACACAGACACACACACACAGACACACACATAGACAAAGACACAGACACACACACACAGACACACACATAGACA